ATGCTGATATATATCAATGTATTACTATGTAGATTTAGAACGTAATCTTGTTTCGGAACAATCGAAATATTAGGATCGAGTCAAAGCAAGCAAGGCTAAGGTGAGTGCGTATTAGTTGGTATATTATGATGAATGGAAATAAGACTTGTGACAAGTCTATTTCCTATAATAGCATACATATAAGCATGTTATTGATATGGGCATAATTGTGATATATTATTGTATATGTGGTATGATCTGTGTGAATGTATGTTATTGTCATGTGATTAAGATATCAATCATGTGATAATGAATTGTATGGATATATGGAAGGTAAATTAAGCTAAAGTATGTGAACATATGTATATAAGATAACCCATGTAGATATGATTTATGAGAGTATAAGTGATATGATTGCAAGATTTCAAGAGATAAGCCATATGATATGAGTGATATGATAAGAACCTATGTTTATGTGATATGCCTATGTGAATATAGGGTAAATATAATAATGATGCCCATGTTACGTGACATGAGAGCTAGTGGTATAGTTGGCATGCCAAGAGTCGAGGGTTCTACGTGGTCCTTCGGGATATATATGTAATTCTGTGGAACATATATGTGGTACTTCGGTACACTTATTTGGTCCATTGTATTATGTGTATGGTTCTTAAGGAGTGGTCCTTCGGGACAAAGTGGTCTTTCGGGACAAATCAGTGGTCCTTTGGGACAAATCAGTGGTCCTTCGGGACATAGTGGTCAATTGGGACAAATATACAGTGCCACTAGTGGGAATTTATTCGAGCTGTGGTGACAGCATCAGTGCACAACCTCAATGAACTCATATATCTTTAGTTCTCCAAGATGTACATGGGCCAATAAAGAAATAATATACAGAAACTTAACATGATTGTCATATGTGATTGAACATTTGGATGTGAATGTATGAGTTTCATTTATTGCATATATGATATGTTCTATGTGAAATATGTTGATATGATATATGGGAATGTAAGTGAATATAATATAATTATAAGATATGTTAGAAGTAATTTCATGAGAAATCTAGTGAACGCTATATACATATATATACATAGATAATGAAGTGGTGAACTATATGATTAATGAGAATTGAGACAAAGCATATAGTATATTAATTGAGGAAAAAAATATATAAATAAGTATAAAAGGATATTAGATAAGTTGTGTAGGAAGGTATATACGTTTAAAATAAAACTGTGAACTAACCTTGGTAAATTAGTAAGGGATATGAAATTTAGTATAAGAATCCTAGAAATCATATGAGAATATCAAATGAATCAAATGACAATAAGTTATGCAAATGTATGTTTATTAAATGAAGATTTGGTGAGGAATGAATTAAGAGAATATAAGAAATTAGGATATTAGAATATGTAACGAGAATTTATGGGTGAAATGTTAAATAGAAACATAGAGAAAGGAGAGATAAGATATGTAGGATTGCGATCAAAATTACAGGATTAAGAATAAGGTAAGTAAACGATTTAAATGAATATAGTAGAATGTGATATAAGCTAAGTAGTGTAAAGTAAATGATTATAAGAATATAAAATAGTAAAACTCATATGTGATATTATAAGGTTTGTGTATGTATGTATTCATTTTATTAAGTGTACATGAAGATGTATGTTATAATAGCATTAATTATTCATATGCATTGTTAGAAGTTTAGTTTATATTATATGTTTTATAAGTCTCACTAGGTCATAGACTTAGCGTGTGATTGTTTCACACGTAGGTTACAGAAGCGAGAAGAGAAGCTAAGAGGAGAAAGACATGTTAGCATCTTCCTTACGAATATCGGATCAGAAACATATTAAATATATGTATTATGTTTATTAGAATGTAGTTGGCATGTAGTATAAATATTTGAATAGTATAAGCTCTGATATGTTTTGTAAAACCCAATTATGTCAATTAATGAAAAATATTAATTTTATCGAATAGTGAGTTGAATTTTTATCCACCTGTAAAGGAAAATGTTTTGAAAAGTCAATGTGACACCTAGGACTCGGATCCGGGTTGGATACTGGTTGAGGGTGTTACATGAATTACATGAAAGTAAACTACGTGATTATATGCACATGTGATATGTGACAGAAGAAAAGAAATATGTGATCATAAGAGCAATGATATGAGTACATGAATTTATGAAGCATAAGAAAAATGCCCATGTTATATAATACAAGAGCTATAGGTATAGTTGTCATGCCAAGAGTAGAGGGTCTACGCGGTCATTCGAGGCAAATTCTACGTGGTCCTTCGGGATGTATATGTATTCATTGGAGCATGTATGAGGTATTTTGAGACGCCTACTTGATCTTTGGTATATGTATATGATTCTTAAGGAATTTATATGTGGTCCTTATGGACAATCTTATGTGGCACTACGGTGCATTTCTACGTGACACTTCCGTGCAAATTCTACGTGGCACTTCGGTACAAATTTATACGAGCTGTGGTGACAGCATTTGTGCACAACCTCAATGTACTCACATACCTTCAGTTCTCAACAGTGTACATGGGCTAATAAATAAATTTAATAAGTATATTGAATATGATATGTATATGTGATTTGTTATATGGAATAGATTACCGGATTTATGTAATGGTGTATTGCTTGATTAATGCATAATATGTTATGTATAAGGGTATTAAATTATAAGAATTAATGATAATGAATGTGAAATGTTAAACGACTTGATAATGATATATGTGTTATATGATGAATATATGGTAAGTAAAAGGGATTAATGATAGTATTTGCATATGTATGCCTTTTGTTTATATGAAAAGATATATGTTTTATATGCCTCACTAATTTATCGACTTAGCGGGTGATTGTTTCACACGTATGTTTGGAAAGCAAAAAAGAGAAGATTGATAAAAGTTATGCAAGACATGTCAGTTTCTCCTTTCCAAAGATCAAATCAGAAAAACATTTAATAGTATGTATTTTGTAATACTTATAGTGGTTGGCATGTAAACAAAGATTTGAATCCTATATGTTTTAATCGGTTTTGTAAAATCATATGATTTAATTTTGTAATGTTGTAAACGTATAATTGTAAATGGTAAATGAAAGATGATGAACATTTTAAATTTTATGAATTTATACATATTTTACGGAAGTACTATAGTAGTACTGTAGCAGGTATCGATTCCTTGTAGCAGGGGAATCAATTCCTCTTTGATAATCTGGAAAATTTTAATATTCGAGTACTGTAGCAGGATACTGTTAACGGTACTGTTCATTATTGTTCACAGTATTGTTCATGCCGTATTTTACTGTTCATAAATATGTTTTTGACTCAAAATTTCATACGAAACACAATTCAATAATATATGATCGTATTTTCTTAAAATGGGTTCAAATGTTTTGATATTTTGTAAGAATAAAGGTTTTGAAATATCAATGTGACATCTCGGACTCGTATTCGGATCGAATACGGGTTGGGGTGTTACAAATATTATGTCTAATATTATTAACATCAATGTGTTATCGCATGGACGATGATGAATGACATACGTTGAACAACGGATTTGGAGCTGTATGATCAGTAATCTCACTGTTCATTGAATATTAAAAAAAATTAGAAAGAAACAACTTCGTTAATTAGACTAACTAAATTGATTGTGATGGAAGAGCAGTGCTCGTCAAATATGATGCGTATGAAGCAAATATCAAGTTTGATATTATAGGTATATAATAATTTTGTGACAAATTCGAAACATATGCTAAATAACATGTTGATATTATGTCGGTTGCATAGATGATGCATGTTGTGTTGTTCTAAAAGGTGTTGTTGATGACGAGTTGAAATAGTTTGCTCTTTCCTATTAATGTAGGGTGTAGCAACGCATACAGCTAAGGTGTCGTCATGGTTAAAAATTTGAGAATTTAGGGGCCGTTTGGATAGGAGAATGTAAGATTTTCTGGGAATGAAATTCACATTCCCCCGTTTAGTTGGTCGGGAATATCATTCCCGATAATGTTTTATTACCAATAGTGAATTTTTTTTGGTATATTATCAGGAATGCCATTACCTCCCTTCCTTTAGGTATTGTAACATTATCTGCGTTTTGGACTAAAATGCCCTTAATTTTTTTTTTCAAAAATATCATTCTTCTGTCATTGAATAGTAAAAATTCTACGAAGGTTAAATTACAAATTTATCTTTAAACTATTTTAGATTTATAAAAAATCTAATTAAAATTTTATATAAAGTTCAGGGGTTAAAATAAAATTTTACCATTTTATTAAACATTTTTTTATATTTTTTATTTTGTAAAAAAATTATATAAATTTTATGATTTTTTTAAAAAATATATATAAATATTTTCTAACTTGTAATATTATACAAATATATAATAAGGACAATTTGGTCAAATATACATTCCAATAATCTTTTATTCTTTTAACCAAACACAGTAATCTTACATTCCTTTAACCAAACACAAAATACAACATTCTCAGTAATCTTATTCTCTAGTAATCTTTTATTCCTACTGGTAATCTTATATTTCGTGAACCAAACGCATCCTTAGTAGTTTAGGGATTTAATGGATTAGAGTAACGATAAGAACGATAATCGGTCAATGTGTGAATGATTGCTCGAAGACGATAACGATGATATATGGTGGCTAATGACAGTTAATAATGAGGTTTTAAGGTTTTAGAGTTCTTTTGTGATTTTAGAAAAATTTAATTTTTTTTAAAATATGATTTAATTTTTTTTAAAATTTTTTATAAACATGACATGTGATAAGTTTTAAATGATTATTATTTTTTTATAGTTTGTGACAATATTATACACTTAAAAATAATATTTAAACTGTTAAACAGTTAAATTATACTTAAAAGTATTTTAATCACCTAAAACGAGAAAAGAATATAGATTAATCACTTATTTTTTTAATCAAGTCCTATTATAAATATCCCTTCCCCTTCAAAGCATAAGAAGTTAGAACACCAGGAAATGAGTTACTCCATGTTAGCTGTTGTAGGATCCTTCACTTACCCGTCAACTTCAGCTCCAAATCCAAAACTCTGCAACGCCACCCTACGCAGAAAAGAATTCATTTCTCTCTTAAAAAATTGCAAAGACGCCAACCAAATCCTCCCAATACATGCCAAAATCATCAGAACCGGCCATGACCAAGACCCTTTCGTCCTCTTCCAGCTTCTATGCCTCAGCTCCACTCTATCCTCCGTTAATTATGCCTCCACCATTTTTCAACAGGTCCGTAACCCAAATGTCTTCCTCTACACAGCTCTCATTGATGGGTTTGTCTTGGTTGGTTCCTACTCTGATGGGATTCGCCTTTATTATCAAATGATTGATCGGTTCATTGTGCCGGATAAGTATGTTATCACCTCCGTTTTGAAAGCTTGTGGGTATCGTTTTGCTTTGAGGGAGGGAAAAGAGGTTCATTGCCAAGCTTTGAAACTTGGGTTAAGCTCGAATAGATCGATAACCATGAAGCTGATGGAATTCTACGGGAAGTGTGGGGAATTTGATAATGCGAGGAAAGTGTTTGATAAATTGACGGAAAGAGATGTTGTTGCCTCAACAATCATGATAAACTGTTTTCTAGACCATGGGTTGGTCAAGCAGGCGGTTCAGGTTTTTGATCGGGTAAGGGTTAAGGATACTGTTTGCTGGACCGCGATGATTGATGGGTTGATTAGAAATGGGGAGATGAACATGGCTTTGGAGTTGTTTAGGGAAATGCAAAAAGACAATGTGAAGCCTAACGAAGTTACAGTTGTTTGTGTTTTGTCCGCGTGCTCACAATTGGGAGCGTTAGAGCTTGGAAGATGGGTTCATTCGTACATTGGAAAACACCATAGGATAGAGCTTAATCATTTCGTGGGGGGTGCACTGATCAATATGTATTCGAGGTGTGGTGATATCGATGAGGCTGAACGAGTTTTTGCAATGATGAAAGAGAGAAATGTTATTACATACAATTTAATGATTTCAGGGCTTGCTATGCATGGAAAGAGTATTGAAGCTGTTGATATTTTTCGGGGAATGATTAAGCAAGGGATTTTGCCAACTAGTGTTACCTTTGTTGCTGTTTTGAATGCTTGTAATCATGGAGGCTTGGTCGATTTGGGGTTTGAGATGTTCCAATCTATGAGTAAAGATTATGGTATTCCACCACAAATAGAGCACTATGGATGTATCGTTGATCTTCTTGGTCGTGTAGGTCGTCTAAAGGAGGCTTATAATTTCATTCAGAATATGGAAATAGCACCTGATCATGTCATGTTGGTGGCCTTGCTGAGTGCTTGTAAAATTCACGGAAACCTTGAATTAGGAGAACAGGTTGCAAGAATTTTAATTAATCATGGGGCTGTAGATTCTGGCACTTACGTTCTGCTATCAAATGTCTATGCTTCATCAGGAAAATGGAAAGAAGCAGCTCAAATCAGGGCAAAGATGAAGGAAGGTGGAATCCTAAAAGAACCAGGTTGCAGCTCCATTGAAGTGAATAATGAGATACACGAGTTTCTTCTGGGAGACCTAAGGCACCCTCAAAAAGGAAAAATATATAAGAAGTTAGAGGAGTTGAACCAAATATTAAAAGCAGGACATACTCCAGCAACAGATGTTGTTTTGCATGATATAGAAGACTGGGAGAAAGAGCAGGCTTTAGCAATACACAGCGAGAGGCTTGCAATATGCTATGGTTTAATCTCTACTAAACCAGGTACCACAATAAGGGTTGTGAAGAACTTGAGGGTTTGTGATGATTGCCACTCGATGATCAAGCTCCTTGCTATGATTACTGGAAGGAAAATTGTGGTGAGGGATCGCAAAAGATTCCACCATTTTGAGAACGGGAAATGCTCTTGTGGAGATTACTGGTGATTTAAAATGGGGGAAAAAGAAAAGAATCTTAAGCCTTACATAGAGATCTACGAGCATGAAGGTTGAGTAAAGTTACAGTCTGGCCACCATTGCTTGTAACAGTCGCGTCTCAACTAAATGGCAAAACTATCGTTTTTATTCCTTATAGTAACTCTTTTGAACAGAGGAAGCCTATCATGTATACAAATAATCTGTAAATAAGGTTTATGTTGAAAGTTCTGTTGAAAAGGACGTTTGCTTAGGGTGAAGGTGGAGTAATGCTCGACTTCTACGATGGAGGACGGTCGAAAAAACATGAAGTAGATGGCAATTTCAAACCTTATATGGGGGTATCAGATTTGAATCTGAGGAGTCTGCTTCAATTTGCTACAATGCATTCACCAAGCTCGTGGGATTCATTATTCTAATTGGTAATTTTCTTGATTCAGATCTTGATGGTTCAGTAATCAGTCTTAGATTGCTTTGTAACAAGGATCAAGTAAATAGTACGAAGATAATGTTACGGAAGACGGCTATCGGATAGAGTAAAATCGCTACTGATAATTTGAGAAAATAAAAATGAAGATAAAAGAGATACAAAATTTACATGGAAAACCCCTAAATAATATAGGGTAAAAATCACAGACAACGGTAGAAGAATTTCACTATAAGAAAATAGGAATTACAACTTCTCTCGATCTATCAAGGAGAAAACAACGATAATTCTCTCTAGATAAAAAGGAGAAAACAACTCTCAAGAAACTCTCTAAATTCTCTCTAATATTAGAAGAAATCTAGAATGTTTTGGGATGATTTTGAAGCTAAATGAGTTATGGTATTTATAGTTGAATCTAAAGGACTAATCTTAAAAATACCCTAAAGTATAATGACTAAATGTGAGATTGTACCATTTCCAAAAAATCAACATTTTCATGCTGCCAACTTATTATAGAAATTTTGGCTAAGTTAGGCACTGAAAGTTTTCATCAATCTATGCTGCCATCTTGGACTTTCAATGTTGTCATCTTGGACTTTCAACAATCTCCCACTTGAAGATTTGATTAGAATAATCATATTTTCACACCATTCTTTCTACCTTGTACCTTCATATTGCTTACTCTGAGTGCCAATTGGGACGTCTTCTCACACGATCTGATTGACGAGTTGTTGGAGCTTTAGAACTCTCTGGTTCTTGTTCATCATATGCTGGTTCTACTTCAGAAGAATCTCCTTGCTCAAAATCCTTTTCCACGTGTATCTGTGTAGTCTCTGACTTTTCAGCGCTATCATCATCTTCTTTTCTTTTTAGCTTATCTTCTACAAAGATAACATCCCTGCTGATGACTACTTTATGGGCAATGAGATCCCACAAGCGATACCCCTTGACTCTATCAGCATACCCCAAGAATTTGTATTTCCTGGATTTTGGATCTAGCTTTGAGATTTCTTGGGAGTTGTACATCACGTACACAATACTTCCAAATATATGAAGGTTTGAATAATCAGCTGGTTTACCAGTCCACATCTCCATTGGTGTCTTCAGCTCTGTTGCAGTTGATGGAGCTCGATTCACCATATAACAGGCGGTATTGACTGCTTCTGCCCAGAATGATTTTTCTAGGCCTGCATCCCTCAACATTGCTCTTGTTCTTTCTAACAAGGTTCTGTTCATCCGCTCTGTCACTCCATTTTGTTGAGGAGTGTTCGCCACTGTGAACTGTCTTTTGATGCCTTCTTTCCTACAAAAGTCATCAAATTCTTCGCTTGTGTATTCTCCTCCATTATCTGTTCTGAAACACTTGATTTTATTTCCAGAATCAAGTTCCACCCGCGCCTTGAAGTTTTTGAAAGTTGAAAACACGTCTGACTTCTTCTTAATAGGATACACCCAATATCTCCTGGAGTAGTCATCAATAAATGAGACAAAGTATTTTGCTCCACCTAGGGATGTAACTGGTACTTGCCATACGTCAGAGTGAACCAATTCTAGAACACTTTTGCCTCTAGAATTTGATGTGTTGAATTTCAACCGGTGCTGCTTACTTGTTATGCAATGCTCACACAAAGTAAGTGATACCTTTGTTAAGCCTGGAATTAGCTTTTGCTCCACAAGGACTTTCATTCCTTGTTCTGACATGTGTCTAAGTTTCTGATGCCATAACATTGCAGAATCTGAACTACATGAGGCAACAGAGGCTTCTGCTTCTAGCAAAGTTTCTCCCTTCAGCATGTACAAGTTTGCTGGTATCTTTTCGCCTTTCAACACCACAAGCGCTCCACGGAACACCTTCATGATTTCTTTCTGTGTTTCAATCTTGCTTGCATTATTATTCAACAATCCGTAGGATAATAAATTTTTCTTCAGACCTTTCACGTGCCGCACATCTTGAACAACTTTAATCGTTTCATCATACATCTTCAATTTGATGATTCTCACGCCAACGATCTATAAGGCATGATCATTGCAACTATACACAGATCCTCCTAAGACATGTTCATAATGATGGAACTCTTCTTGAGGTCATGTGATATGTTGCTCTTGAATCAATGAGTCATATATATGCATATCTCTTTCTGCCTTTCACGGTAGTTGACGCTTCACAGCATAGAGCATCTCCATCATCTAAAGTGTTTGTGGTATTGCCTTGTGGATTTGAGTTTTTATTTAAACTCCAACAATCCTTCTTCAAGTGACCCTTCTTTCCACAGTTGTAGCATTTTAAATTCTTCTTGTTTTTCGACTTTGATCTACCATGTTTGTGACTGCTACTTTGGCCACGTTCTGTTGATCTCCCTCTCATTGTTGTCAACGCTTCTGCTTGTTGCAGATTTACTTGTCTGTCTTCCTTGTTCTTGCGCTGATTTTCTTCTTGTAGAACATCAGATGCAACATCATCGAAGACTAGACTGGTGACATGACTGTTTGTCAAGTTGATGATGAGTTGATCATATGAATCCGGTAGACTTTGAAGTAGAAGTTCAGCACGTTCTTGTTCTCCTATTTTACAGCTTAAGGATGTAAGCTGAGAAAATAAAGTGTTCAGTGTATTTAAGTGTTCCGTCACTGAAGTAGATTCTGACATACGGAGAGTGTACAATTTCTCTTAAGGAAAATTTTATTGTGCAACGATGTGGCCTCGTACAGTTTGGTGAGATGATCACATATCTCCGTAGTTATCTTCTTCTCCTTGATGCTTGACAATACTTCATCTGCTAATGCTAGATGAAAGTTTGTCATAGCATTCCCGTCCATTTTGATCCATTTGTTGTCATCTGTGAAATCTATCGGCCTTTCACTGATAGCTGCTAGACAACCGTCTTTCCTCAGGATGGTCTTCATCTTCAATTTCCACAATGAGAAATTTCTCTCATTGAATTTTTCAATATCAAATTTCGTTGCCATAACTTCTTTTACGGATAACTCCCACTATTTCACTATCGTGAATAGTTCTCTGGAACCTTCAAAGAATGGGTAATACATTCTTACTTTCTTATGTTGGAGAATCCATTTTTTTGGTGGCAACCACAAAGACAATAAGCAGATATTACACACTCAAATCTGGCTCTGATACCAATTGTTGCGGAAGACGACTATCGAATAGAGCAAAATCGTAACTGATAATTTGAGAAAATAAAAATGAAGATAAAAAGAGACACAAAATTTACGTGGAAAACCCCTAAATAATATAGGGTAAAAACCACGGACAACGGTAGAAGAATTTTACTATGAGAAAATAGGAATTACAACTTCTCTCGATCTACCAAGGAGAAAACAATGATAATTATCTCTAGATAAAAAGGAGAAAACAACTCTCAAGAAACTCTCTAAATTCTCTAGTATTGGAAGAAAGCTAGAATGCTTTAGGATGGTTTTGAAGCTAAATGAGATAGGGTATTTATAGTTGAAGCTAAAGGACTAATCTTAAAAATACCCTAGAGTATAATGACTAAATGTGAGATTGTACCATTTCCAAAAAATCAACATTTTCATGCTGTCAACTTATTGTTGAAATTTTAGCTAAGTTAGGCATCGAAAGTTTTCATCAATCTATGCTGTCATCTTGGACTTTCAACAGATAAAACGCTTGAAGGAGGAAGCCAAGGGAGGGTTGTTGGCCCATTATTACGGTGAGGAAGTATAAATCAGGGAAATGGATTGTTACAGAACTTGAAGCGAAACAAATCTCTCTTTAGGAAGAATACTCTCTCCGTCCCAGAAATAGGTTAGTGATAAAAGCATGTGAAGCCGACAATTGCCTTCTAGTTTCATCTCATTGTTAGTTTGCATTGGCTTTGGAAGAGATGCAATGATTAAACCCTTTGTTTCCTACTAGAAAATATCAAACAAAGTTCTTTCGTGTGTATATGACTAAGCAGTGAAATATTTGTGCACTAGTCTTATTGCTAATTTTGCGTAGTCATGTTCTACCTTCTAAATTTTAATTTGACAAACACAGTATAGAAGTTTTAAAGTTTCATACTATAAACTACACCATCATTAATAATACTACAAAGTTTAGCACATAATAATTAACAATAATTCAAGACATTATTAAAATGGGTAATTTACATTAACTGAACTTTACTCTCGCTCCTATTTTACTCACCGAACTTCAAAAAAATATCTGAACTTTATATATTAATTTTTTTGCCACTCTATGATGACATAGATTATTTTATTTGTAAGGACTAAACTCATATAAGGTCATTTAACTATTATGTCTAATATTTAATGGTCCAATGATATATTTGTAATAACATTTAATTGATTGACTAAATTATACTTTTTAAAACAAACATGATTCATTTATAATTTGACTAATAATTGAGTGATCTGGAATGTAATTTACCCAAAAGTTTAAAGCATTTAACAAACATGCACATGACCCTTTGGAATAAATATAAGATATTATTCTTTTAAAGATTTTTTTTATTATTTGACAAAATATTAATATTCCAACATATTTGATGCTCAAACTCAATACCTCAATAGATAATAATAATCTTTTAACCACTAAGAACACTTGATTCGTGTTGATCCATTTATTTCTTAAATGTGTATCATCAGTTTAATATCTCATTATTTTATCATATTTTTGTTTAGATTCAACCATTGCAATGTTTTGTTTAATTATTGCTATTTGAGTCAAAAGATTTTAAAATTTTCAGAAATGAAAGGTTGATTTAATTAATTAAATTTAATTTGGTTATATTAATTAATTTTATAAAAAAATTAATTTAATTATCAGTTAAAAATTGATTATCTCAATTAATATCTATTCTGATACATGTTGTTATCTGCATGACTCAACAACAATTATGACCAACTCTTTGGTTTCCACTTTCCAGTCGAACCCAACTTCACGCAGAGAAAAAATCATATGAATCATATATATTCCCTTTACACTATATACTTAATTCTTTTTGTTACGATGATATGATTATAAGATAATATTTATTTAAAATATTTTAATTATTTTATATTAGATATCTAAATACCCTTACAGATATCATGTTCGAACTTGAAACTTTTACAAATAGTGATCATACTTTTAAGATCGTTTAATTAGTACTATAATTAATTAAATTATAAAAATAATAATTTATGAATTAAAAAGTATTGTTTTTAAAAATAGTATGCAACATAATTTCAATAAAAAGAAATGATATATTAGAAATCTTCCTGATTCACGCATGGCTGCATATATATTGGCCAGGAAATTGAAGTAATTTGCTTTAGGACAACACTTTTGGGTACCCAAAAGCAGGTCTTAACAAACATGAAAGTGGCCTGTCTTTCCTTACAAAAATCAATTAACAGTAGAGGCCTTATTGTCATTCCACTTCATCCTCCGAGACAATGATTCGAACCTTTTTATTTTAATAAAAAAGTTCAAACAAACTCACAAGCTTCAAAGTTTCAAACTTTATTTGGAACAAATAATTTTCCCTAAACCAATCCGAAAACAGAAGGGCCAAACATTTTCTATATAAAATCTGAACATAAACCCGACAATTGAATAAGCTGCTCTTAACTTTCCTCTTCTGTTCCATGAAGCAGAGTCCTTGAAGACACACGATCGAAGCTTGCAGGATTTCAATAATGGAAGAGTAAAGTTTTTTTTCCCCCTTAATTAAAAGCTTTGGTTGATTCTTTTAACATCTCCCACGTTGAAAAGTTCCATTTGTTTTTCTCTTCATGGGCTCCGCCGTGGGATCCGTCATGGGGTGCTTGTTTTTGATGCTCTCGATGGTGAACGTGATCGAGATACGGCTGGGGATGTTGTCCTGCGGCAGTAAGTCCGCCATTCAAGCGGTGGCGGCTGTGGTCATCCTGGTTTCTTCTGCTCTCTTGGTTTACATTTCCACTGCAGTTTATGCTTTCTTGCATTGAATTTCAACGGAACTTCACTATTATCAGCTTTGGTAAATAAATATTGTAAATCAACAACGTTGGAGATGAAACTTGTTAAAATGTTGGATATAATGACGATCAGTATCATGTTGAAACGTAATTAACATGAAAAGACTTCACGTGAAATCGACGTACAATTGCGTTATAAAACTCATTCGCGAATAGGTCCAGTGATATGATTTTTTTCATATTATAATATCGTACTTTTGTTGCATTTAAAGGTAAATGTTTAAAGACAAATTTCAATCTTTTTGTCAATAAAGACATTAATTAGGCTCAAACTTAGAATCTCAAAGAATAATAACAATTTTTTTATTATTAAAATTTATTGATTCCTGCAAAATATAAATATCCAACGATTTATGAGACGAATGTAAAATTTATTTAATACGTAATAAAAATAGTATTGTTTTTAGAAAGGCATTTAACGATTGAATAATTGTATTGTTTTTATAATGACTTGCCCATAACAAATTATTTTTTTTATTTTACCCGGTTTGGTCGATTGGTCTTCTAACAACTTTGGTAACCTTCATTTTCTATTGCTTCCTTTTTTTTTTTACTTTATCCTAAAAGAAAACGGCGCCGTTTTGCGTTAGAGGCGATAAGCAACTGCTTCTCTCCATCACATTCCATCGTACGCTTCACAATAAGCGTAGCGAATATCAATGATTTCAATCCTAGGGTTTCCTTGCCTCAAGTGATAAGATGCAGCTCCCCTCCATCATGTTTCAATGTACGCTTCACCAGAGCCGTAACAAATATCAATCTTTTCAATCCTAGGGTTTCTTTTCCCTTTCTCTTCTTCCCAGTAAGTAGCGAATCATCTGAAGACGGTTTTTATTGTTTTATTCTTTTTTTTTTCAATTTTTACAAAATAATCATTGTTTTCTGTTTGGTTTCCGGCAAACCATAAGAAATTTTTTTTATTGAAAAGCTAGCTACGCCACATTGACTTGGTTTATACATCGAGTCACTCCAATTAGTTCATGTAAGGCCCTAACTCGTCGCTTGATCTTTTACTTTTCTCCATCGTTTATTTTCTATTTAATTGTTGTTATTCATGCACTTCCATTGTATCTCTGCACTGAAGATAGTGACCTTATGGATTAATTTATGATAGGTTTATAATATTTCATTTATGGGTGTTTTATTTTAGTAAATTCAATGTTTTTCTGATGATTTATTGGCCGTTAGTTCCTGCTAACTTCCTTTCCCCCCTCGGTAGCTCTATGCTGAACTTATTTCCCAAAAAAGTAATGCAGAGTGGCCAACACCGAAAAAAGGAAGTTGCTTTTGTAATATGGGTTCCAAGACGTTAAAAATGAAGGTGGAATCTACTGCAGTTGATATAAGAATTATACCTAATCATTTGTAGTTTAATTCCAAAAAAAATTGATCATTCTTTGGATAATAAATTTGCTTTGTTTGATGCAAGGATGATTCATCTTCTTTGGATAATTCTTCTTTTGCTTCTTCTATCTCTTTATCTGTTTACTTTCTTTTCAATTTCAGTTAGATGCAAATTTTGTGTGAAAGAAATCAGAAAATGAAGTTATTTCAGTTGCCTTTGCATAAATGAACTATTTGGTCAAAGAAAAAGTATTATGGAGAGTAAATCTAATCGAGGGATAGATTCAGATGAAAGTATAAAGTGTTTGGAAGTTGAAAACTTTGATGAGCAGGAACTGGTCGATCATGAGATTTCAGACAACATTGATTTATGCTTGGGAGAAGTCAACAAATTATAGATGGTCTACTGAGTTTACCTTTGTTAGGCAATGTTGCAGAACCGTATATTGGCATGGAGTTTCAGTCAAGAGATACTGCAAAGGAATTCTATGTTGCTTATGGCAGACACATTGGTTTTACAGTGCGAATCCATCATAATCGACGTTCACGGATAAACAATACGGTAATAGGTCAAGACTTTGTTTGCTCAAAAGAAGGTTTCCGTGAAAAGAAATATATGTATAGAAAAGACAGGGTTCTGCCTCCCCCACCAATCACTCGAGAAGGTTGCCCTGCAATGTGAGGTTGGCTTTAAGGGATGGGTAAAATGGGTTGTTACCAAATTTGTCAAGGAGCATAATCACTCATTGATGTCACCTGGAAAAGTACCATGGCGAGGTTCTGCAAAAAATTTGAACAGTGAGGTACGCTACATTCTTTTTTAAAATATAAATCAAGGTCCATATGAGATTAGGTTTCTAGTTCATGCTATCATATTCAATATAGATAAGATGATGAGAAGTATAGATCAAGATTAGTGAGTCGTCACACTTTCGGGTTTCACACATAACCATCTAGGAATAGAGCTGTAAGCATGCTTAAGTATAATGCCCCTTGTGTCGTCTTACTTTTTCTCCTAGTGTTTTCCTTCTAAATGCTTTTTTTTTTCTTTTAGGATGATATAATGTTTTTTCTTGTAGGATGAGAAGGATCGGAGAATACAGGAACTAACCCAAGAACTGAACAATGAGAAACAAAAATGTAAGCGACGATGTGCTGCTTACCAGGAACAATTACGCACAATATTGAAATTTGTTGAGGAACATACCGATCAATTGTCAAGAAGTGTTGAAGACATAGTCAACAACATAAAAGAACTTGAAGAAGCATAGCTGGGAGATTGAGCTTCTCTTTATTCTTCTCCCGAGGCCTAAAAATGTATGGTACATTGTATGATTCCCTGTCACCCTTTTGGATATACCCATGATTTTACTGATGTAAAAACAGTTAATTTGGATAATTCCCCGCAATTTGGTATAGAAATTGCAAGGCTTTTCTTGAAATTGTAGTGCTAAATGTAAAAAAGAGTGAACATTGGAACTAGTCTCATATAGCTTAA